GTACACACACCACCCGCTTCTGGGCAGGCAGAGTATATAGTTCCCTGACAGTGACTAGGGCACACCAAAAGACCTTTCTCATTAGAGAAAGACTTTGGAGTAAATCTTAGCTCCATCAAATCAATATCTTTCCCTTTAAAATGGGAATAATAATAATTATCTCATAAGTGGGTTAATATTTGTAAAGCACCAGCACCTAGTAGCTGCTCAATAAACAGCTACAAAATTAATTTTTTTTCAGAATCTTTCACTTGCATCATCTCATTTGATTTTCATAGAACTCTGCTTAACAAGCAGCATAAATATTGTAATCCATCTTTTACAGATGATTAATCTGGCGTTCTAAAACTTCCTCAGTACAGGTTGAGGATCCCTTATCAGAAATGCCTGGGATTGGAAGTATTTCCGATTCTTTTTGGATGTTGGAATATTTGCATATGCATAATGAGTTATCTTGAGATTGGGACCCAAGTCTAAACACAAAATTCATTTATGTTTCATGTACACCATGTACACGTAGCCTAAAGGTAATTTTATGCAATGTTTTTAATTTTGCGCATGAAACAAAGTTTGTGTGCATTGAACCATCAAAAAGCAAAGGTGTCGCAATCTTAGCCACCCATATGGACAATCTGTGGTTGTTTAACATCACCACCATTCCTGACTCTGAATTCATGTGTAACCAATGTGTAATCATTCTTATATTAATTAACACAGAAGTACTTAACAGTAGAAAATATGACATACCATTAATACAGTGAAAAAACAATGTGTTCAGGGAAACGTGGAGCTCTCAAGAAGTTTTGGATTTTGGAGCATTTTGGATTTTCAGATTAGGGGTGGCTCAACCTGTAATAATAATAATGAACTCTTATCAGCACTTACTACTTGTCAGGCATTGTCCTATCTAAACCCTTTACATTAAATCCTCACATCAAATCTCTGAAGTGGGCCCTAATAGTCTGTTTTTACAGATGAGGAAAATTAAGGCATAGAAAGGCTAAATAACTTGCCCAAGGTCAAAGAGCTGGCACATAGAAGAGCTGGGATGCAAACCCAGGTCGTATGACTCCAAAAGCAATGCTGTTCACTAGTACTGCTAAGGGAGGCGATGGGTCACCTCTGCCCATCTTGGTTCTTAAGTGGGATCTTCAGCTGGGTCTAGGAACCAAATTAACACAAGACAGATTAACAGGAGAAAAGTATACACATTTTATTAATTTTGACACATATACGGGGACCTTCACAAGAGCACGAAGACCTGAAGAAATGGCGAAAGCAGAAAGCTTCTATACCTTTTAGAGAAAGAATGACAAATTTCGTGAGAAAATGACAAGATAAAGGGGCGAGAGCGAGGGGTAGTAAATTCCGGGGGCGTCACTAGGAGATATAAGGAAGGTATAAAGCTGATGGGAGGACAAAAGTGATTTCAGTGAGTTTATGTGTACAGACCCCTTGCAGAATCACTTCTCAGTCACTGGTGACAGCGGTTATCTTCTCATGTTGGTGCGGGGAAGGCCTGTGTTTCTCAGTTTTTACAGCTTGCTATAAAGAGTAGATGGTTGTCTGACTGTGACTAGGGCACACCAAAAGACCTTGCTCATTAGAGATGGACTTTGGAATAAATCTCAACTCCATCAAATCAATATCTTTCCCTCTAAAATGGGAATAATAATAACTATCTCATAAGTAGGTTAATTGCTATAAGTAAGAGAGGGCAATTTACATGGGCTTTTCTGCAACTGCTGCATCTCAAGAGCCTTCCCCTCAACAATATTTATGTCAAAGAGGCATATTTTGGGGTGACATTCTGTTTCCTTCAACTCTTAAGTGCCTCCATTTCCCACAGTTTCTAAGGAGTGGACTTGAATTCCTATCTGTTCAATCTAGGGCACTTTATATACATACCCCGAAAAGGAATGCATTGGGCCATTTAAACAAAATACCCTTGAACTAGAGATAGCACTAGGTTATCGGATCTGCCAGTTTCCAGGAGAGAACTTTATTGGAAGGGGGGGATGTCGAATACCCCAGGGCAGCAGTCCCCAACCTTTTTGACACCAGGGACCGGTTTCACGGAAGACAATTCTTCCACGGACTGGGGATTGGTGGGGTGGGGCATCATGGGTTGGGGGGAATGTGGTGCGGAAGCGGTCCGGGGCCGAAACAGTCCATGGACTGGTAATGGGCCTCAGCCTGGAGGTTGGGGACCACAGCCCTAGGGAACAGGGCATAGTATATGACCACAGTGCTGGCCCAGATAGGGCACAGAGTCAGGGCTGGCATGGTATGGGGGCCCTGGAACACAATGGGAAAGGGTTTCTTTCTTTACATAGTGCATTTTGGAGACTTGAGTAGAGAAGAATACTGTTCCCCAAAACTCCTGAACTATGACAGTTCACGGCCCTAGCACTTTCTACTTTGGATTACGGTTATCAATGAGTATTTCTTGTCTCTTTCTTGAGCGTAAGACCATGTTTTACTCATTTTTGTACTCCCCATGTGGGGCACATAGGAGGCACTTAATAAATGTGAGTTGGATGAATCAATCAATCTGAACAAATGAACATACTTGAGTCCGAAAGGGATTTACAGTTTGCTTTAATTTTGTTTTATTTTGTCGCATCACAATGTGCTAAATCCTATTTTTAAACTCTTTTTCTGATAGCAAAAATATTTTAATGAAGATTCTTTGGGGGAAGATAAGTCACTATTTTCAACCGTTCCCTTATGAAATTCTTTTTTTTTATTTTTTTATTTTTATTTTTTTTTATTTCAGCATATTATGGGGGTACAGATGATTAGGTTACATATGATGCCCTTGCCCCCCCTCCCCCGCAAGTTCGAGCTTCAAGTGTGTCCATTCTCCCGGAGGTGCGCATCACACTCATTGTTTGTGCATATGCCCTTATGAAATTCTTAATAGTCTTCCTATTTTAATTTTTCAACTTTTACCCATTCAAATCCACAAATGGTATAGCTTTTAAAAACTGAATGTACAATTTAGTATAATAACTATCCACCACACTTAACTGTTTATTAGTGCATAAAATCTTACAAATGTCAAGCTGCATTGGATTTTAATGGCTTGTGTAAGCAGATGAAGTGGGTCCCTTGTTACTCCCATTTGAGATTTGTTAGCAGTATTTAAGTGTGTTTCTACAGCTTAGTCATCAGTGGATATGAGTTGTAAATGGCAACTTGAAATAAATGTAACCGGAAGTTTTAAAGATGAGTTTCACAGCTTTTAACATTTCATCTATCCCAGGTGTTGGAGAGAAAAAACTTGTTCTCTATTCTCTCAGCTTCAGTACTTGGGGGGGTGCAAATTAAACTAACAAAGGACAGACTAATGGGAGAAAAGGCTCACAATTTTTTATTAATATTTACATGCAGGGAGTGCAGAGCAAAGAAGTGAAAGTCAGGAGGGTTTGGGCTTCACGGGATGATAAATCTTGAGGAATTGACTGGGAAATAAATGGGGGGGGTCCTAATGGAAGGTAAGGGCCATTGTAGTAAGGTTTATTTATGCAAAATCCTCTTGGTGCCCCCTCCCTGTTTTCAGTGAAAAGGATGATAACCGGTAGGATAATTGATAAGAGTTCCTCTTCTATCCCTGGTAGGGGGCGGAGTGTCACCTTCCTCAAAGGAAAATTTATGCCCTGGTTTTAAGCAGATAAGGGAGGGCAGAAAACTCTTTCTGTATCTGTTGATTCTCAGTTGCTTTCTGCTCAAAATAATCCTTATGCTAAAGTGCATATTTTGGGATGGCATATTCCAATCCTCTTCACATGAAAGCAAAGAAGATTACAGCTGGAACATATCGAATTATTTCCAGTTTTGTTTTGATTGATTTTTCCAGTCCTACTGATAAGAAACAGCTACTTCCTTGTTAAAGAAATCTGTTTTTATAATGTTTTTTGACTTAACACATGTACTCTTCCTTTCTATTACTTGTTGCATTTCATTTAATTCTTTTTAACTTATAAAAAGCAGTATAAGATTATGAAAGATATTTACAAAAATAAGGGGGGAGGGAAGTCATCCACAACCCTATTATGCTATGAAAAACTGTGTTTTTACATATTTCCTTTCAATGTTATCTATGTATATCGATTTTATGTAGTTTCAGTGATGGGGCACACGATATGGGATGTAACTTCTTCAACTTAACATTACATCAAAAACGTTTTCTTTTTTTTTTTTTTTTGAGACAGAGTCTCACTCTGTTGCCCTGGCTAGAGTGAGTGCCATGGCGTTAGCCTAGCTCACAGCAACCTCAAACTTCTGGGCTCAAACGATCCTCCTGCCTCAGCCTCCCGAGTAGCTGGGACTACAGGCACGCGCCACCATGCCCGGCTAGTTTTTTCTATATATTTTTAGTTGTCCAGGCTGGTCTTGAACTCCTGACCTTGAGTGATCCACCCGCCTTGGCTGGTCTTGAACTCCTGACCTTGAGTGATCCACCCGCCTCGGCCTCCCAGAGTGCTAGGATTATAGGCGTGAGCCACTGCGCCCGGCCCAAAAACATTTTCTATGTTCTAGCTTACTTGCAGTTCTCATTATTTAACAGCTGCATAGTTTGCCTAACCATCTTCAGTTAGATATGTGGGCTGCCTCCAGGCTCTCTGCTGACCGGTGACCTCCAGCACTGGCCAGTGTGGGTAGGGTTGGCGCCTCCCCACCAGGTGAAGCCTAAGCCTCCCTGAGGAGCCGCTGACCTAAACTGCCGCTGACCAAGGAGGGCTTCTGTCTCCTGGCTCCCATCTTGCCCCCTCACCCCACTCCTAGGTCCAGGCTTGGTGCAGCTGCCATGCAGGCACCCTGGGCCCACTCCCTCGGGGCGGAGGCCACAGCTCCATCCTCTTCCCCAGTTGCCTTCCCCCACTGGGCGCCCCGCCCAGGGGTGAGTCCCTCCCAGCCTCTCTCTCCTTCTGTCCTAGCGATCCGCAGACCCACCCTGTGCAGAGCAAGGAGTTAGGCCATGCGCCATGGGAGACATGGTCTACCTAAAGTCCTCTGAGGTACAGCAGCTGCTCCACAACAAGTTCGTGGTCATCTTGGGGGACTCCGTGCAAAGGTCCGTGTACAAGGACCTGGTGCTCCTGCTGCAGAAAGACTGCCTGCTCACCACCAGCCAGCTCAAGGCAAAAGGGGAGCTAAGTTTTGAACAGGATACGCTGAGGGAGGGAGGTCAGCTGGACCAGATGCACAATGGCACCAGCTACCGCGAGGTCCGTGAGTTCCGCTCCGGCCACCATCTGGCGCGTTTCTACTTCCTCACGCGCGTGTACTCCGAGTACCTCGAGAGCATCTTGGAAGAGCTGCAATCGGGTGAGCACGCCCCCGATGTGGTCATCATGAACTCCTGCCTCTGGGACATCTCTAGGTATGGTCAGGACTCCTGGAGGAGCTACCTGGAGAACCTGGAGAACCTGTTCCGGCGCATGGGCCAAGTGCTGCCTAAGTCTTGCCTCCTGGTGTGGAGCACGACCATGCCTGTGGGCGAGAAAATTACCGGGGCTTTCCTTCTGCCTGAGCACCAGACCTTGGCCACCTCCCTGAAAGCCAGCGTGGTCGAAGCCAACTTCCACAGCTCTGTAGAGGCGAAGAAACACAACTTCGATGTGCTAGACTTGCATTTCCACTTCCGGCACGCTAGGGAGCATCTGCAGCCAGACGGGGTGCACTGGAACCAACATGCGCACCGCCACCTCTCCCAGCTGCTGCTGGCCCACTTGGCTGACGCCTGGGGTGTGGAGCTGCCCAACCGCCCGCCCGCGGGCAAGTGGATCAAGCAGGCTGTGAAGAAACAGCCTGGTCAGAGAGTTGAAGCTCAGTCCCAGGCCAGCAGAGATCGCTTGGCCTTTCGGTCGTCCCCCCTCTTGCCTGCTCCCGAAAGACGCACCCTGCTCCAGAGCCCACCGCAGCGCCTTCCCCTACCCCTACCCCTACCTCTACCCCTACCCCTACCCCTAACCCCGCCCCGGCTCCTGCCCCCACAGCCTCCTCCCCTCCCCCTTCACCAGGGGATGCTCCAGGTCCCGCATTGTCCCCCAAATGCCTATTTTTCCTCCGACCATACTTTCCAGTCGGATCAGTTCTGTTTCCATTCGGATGTCCTCTCATCTGCACAAACAGGATTTTCCTTTGAAGCCAACTTTATGCTTGATCCCGGGCCACCTATGCCCCACTTCCCCCCACCCTGTCACCGGCAGCCAGCCCCTGTGGTCCATAGAGGTTTTCAGCGGTGCCTTCCCTCTGGCCCCTATGTTCCCTGGGGACAGCGGCCTAGACCTTCAAAGAGAAGGGGCCCTAGCCTACGCAGGCCTCAGTAGACTGACCTAGGCCTTTTTCCTCCTCATGGACATGGACTGGACAGAGCGTCTGCTGCTTCCTTTCTGTTGGCTGGCCCAAACAGACTGACCTTGTTAACTTAAGCTTTCAGTTCATGTTTGGACAACCATTTGTTTGATGCTGTTACCAAGGAAGTCAGGGAGGAGCGGTCTGACCTGTTCTTACTGGCTGTAGCCTCTTCCCCACTTCCTGTGGGTGACCCTATTCTCTTTGCCTTTTTGTAAAAATAAAATTTAAATAAAGAAGTTGTTTTACAAAGTAGTTTTTTGTGTGTCTATATTTAATGGATGCCTTCATTTCCATTAAACAATTAGCCCCGTAAGAACACAAACAATATCTGCTGCATGAATAGTTATGGCGTCTACTTGATAAACTATTCGAAATAGTTTGTGTAAAAGAATTCTCCTGAGGCATTCCATAAAATGGATCCAATTCCTTACAAATAAGCCTAAGAACTTTAATTTTTTGTGATCATACTTTGCCAGAGATTCTCAAAGAATCATTGAATGTTTGAGCTGGGAAAACTAAAGACATAACATTTAACCAACGTTTACAAACAAGGAAACTGAGGCTAAGGGAGATGAGTGACTTATTTTAGATCATACAGAAAATCACTCCTCTAGTCTTTTCTAGTTTATACAAGTTTCCAGGTTATACCAACTATGAGACCATAGACCTAATTTCTACCATAGCAATATCAAACCAAGAAGAGCAGTCTACCAAGTAGGGTCTTCTTACCATGAAAGCTATGGCAAAGAAAAAAAAAAAACCCTGAACCCCCATAGCTCCATAATCAGAAGTCTATTGGTTAAAATTATGCATATAAGCTAGAGTGGATGGCATGCTTGTAACTTAATGATTCCTTGAATAGTCCTGATTTTTAGACTTGAGAAAATTCGAGAAAAATAAGCTGTGTTCAATGGCAATATGAATCACTGTTCAAGAAGAAAACCACAAATTGGAAGGGACCAGACAGTGCACAAATCTCTTGTGTCAACTCTCCATAGCTGGCCACTGCCACGTCTTCTCTGTTTTGTAGGAATGTTAACATTGCTAAGACTGTTTAAATGCTAGGCTTTTGTCACACTGGACTAGCGAATTGTTAATACTTAGATAAAATAGTCAAAATTGATATGATTACATTGTCCGAATATGGATTTTTCATTGAACTGATGTGACTAGTTTATATGTCCCCAATACCACCATCCCTATATTTGACAACAAGGGAAAGGGAATTGTTACCAGTTCATGAAATCATGAGAAATGGTTGATATTATACACCTAAGGAAGAAATACATAGCAGGTTTTTTTTTTTTTTTTGAGACAGAGTCTCACTTTGTTGCCCGGACTAGAGTGAGTGCCGTGGCGTCAGCCTAGCTCACAGCAACCTCAAACTCCTAGGGTCAAGCAATCCTTCTGCCTCAGCCTCCTGAGTAGCTAGGACTACAGGCATGTGCCACCATGCCCAGCTAATTTTTTCTATATATATGTATTTTTAGTTGTCCAGATCATTTCTTTCTATTTTTTTAGTAGAGATGGGGTCTCGCTCTTGCTCGGGCTGGTCTCGAACTCCTGACCTTGAATGATCCACCCACCTCGGCCTCCCAGAGTGCTAGGATTACAGGCGTGAGCCACCGCGCCCAGCCATAGCAGCTTTTAATCCACTAAAACCCATAGGATTCCTGGCGAATAGAGCTTTCATTTTACTTATTTCTGTGTCTCAGATCCTAGCACAATGTCTACCACTTAATAAGTACTGAATAGTGTTTCTTAATGAATCATTGAGTGAATGAAGAGGTGGCTTATAAATGTGTTCCTGATGAGACTACAATCCAAGTCTATAAATTGACATTTAATCTTTGTAGTACGTCTGAAGAACTATTGCTGAAACAGTATGATGATGATCTTTGAGGACCCTGGAAAAGTGGTGCCTACAAGTCAGAATTTTCCAGAATTTCCCAGCATAGTGAAGAGAGGGGACCTGTATGGCCAAGGTACATGTTCTAATCCCATGGAGATTAGGGTACCAGGCTGTGAGATTTCCTAATATTAGCCATCAAGATGACCCAGATGCCTTCATTCTGGCTTTATGTTTCCCAAGCAACACCAAGCAGTGTTTAGCCACCAAACTGAGTAAGCTGACACATTCAGTGTTTATATTTCCATGAATAAACCAATAAATTGGATGTTCTGGTTTATATCTCTCTTTTACAGGTTATGTTAGTATGTATGACTCCTTCTTAATCTGATCATGCCTGATGAACCAAGGACAATGAATTCTTAGATATACGGTGCTGAGGACCAGATGAATCCACTACATTGTGCATTAAATTACGTCAGCCATTAGACAGTTCTGTTTCTCTCCGATGGGTAGCAGTGCAGGTAGACTCAGACAGGGACAGTCTTTTCCTTCACAGGTGTATTAATTTCCTGTGGCTGCTGTAAAAATACCACAAACTTGGTGACTTAACACATTTTTATTCTCATACAGTTCTGGAAGTCAGAAGTCTGAAATCCATCACTCCAAAGTGAAACCCTTACTATGTCCTACATGATCAGCTTTTACCTGCCCCTGCAAGGTTATTCCCTGGAACTCTCTTTATTGCTCGTCATTCTTTCAACCACACAGGACTTCTTTCTGTTCATACAGCATGTCAGACTCTTTTAAAACTTGAGTCTTTGCACTTGCTATTTCCTTTGCCTGGAGTGTTCTGCATCCCCTACCTCTTAGTTTGAATATCTAACTCTTCATCCTTCTGTCCTCACCTTTCAAGTCCCTTCCTAAGAGGCCTTCCATGACCATTCAATCTGAAAGTACTATGACGATCTGTCATCACACTCCTCATTGTCTTTGCATTGCTTACCAGGTTCTGCAATGGCTTCAGTAGTCACTCCCCTTGTAGAATGAATGCTCCATGAGTCTTGTTCGCTGTTAAGTTCCCAAGGCCTACTGGCATAGTGCCTGGCAAAACAGTGTTCAGGTATATTTGGTTTAGTTAAGTGTTCAAGAACATAATTAATTCATATTGTGTACTCAACTAAGAATCCGATTAATATTAAAATTGAGCAGCATTTGATAACTTTCCCTAGAAAATGTCTACAGATCTCTCCCATAACTTTACCTAAGTCATGCTGGGTAGCCAGGTCCCTTGCCTCATCCCGCCCCCTCACCTGCTGGGGGCAAGTGCCTGACAGCACCTTCAGTGGTGCTTGCATTTAATTGGCTTTTATCTTCCAGCCTAGCGCTTTCTTTTTCTGTCCATTTTTGCTTTTGTTGCCTTGCTCCTTAAATCAGGAAACCTAGCATTGCAATCAAGCTATTGTCTGATAAAAAGAACCAAAACTATTCAGCATTTATGAGATAAATTATCGCTCTGTTGTTAAGATTCAGAATGCAGGGTTCATTTGGCTTATTCTCAGTCCTCAAGAAAGGACAGCTCTCAAAGCATTTCCTACTTGACTCTTGCCTCAGGTTTTCTGGAAAAAGGAAAAAAAAAAAGTAAAATTAATGATTAAGTTGACATCATCCAAGTATCATGTGTTTCTCATAAGATTCTATAAGAATATTTTATAATGAAGGCCAAAATTTTGAAGCTGTAATAATATTTGTCCATATGTACAAAGAAAGCAAATGTTCAAAGAAAGCATTTGAACAAACTGAAACTTACAGCCTGCCGTGGGGTCAGCATCCAGCATCAGCTCCTTCTCTCCAAGGTCAGCCACAGAGTTCTTGATTCTTGTTGCCAGAAGGCAACATCCACTGTAAATTCTGGAGTTGTACAAAGTGGCAGCTCCATCTCTTGGACAACTTTATATTCATGAATTCTGCAAAGGTAAGTTGTTTTGAAAACTCAGAATCACTAAGATTCACGTGAGAGAAAGGATTTACCATAGATTTAAACTATTGTACGTTTGTTTCTATAAACTCCGAAACAGTATTCTCATTCTCACAACTTCAAGAAAGGCCTCTACTGCTGAATGCTTAATTTATAGATTTATAGATGGTCCCTGGCTTACGATGGCTCAATTTAAGATTTTTCAACTTTACCATGCTGGGAAAGCAATACACATTCAGGAGAAAAAAAAACTATCCAATACTTTCTCCCAATGCTGGGCAGCTGCAGTGAATTGGAATTCCCAGTCAGCTACGATAACCAATACTCTACAAGGTACTGTGTTGCCAAGTGGTTTTGCCCAACTGTAGGCTAATGTAAGTGTTCTGAACACATTTTAGGTAAACTAGGCTAAGCTTGGATATTCAGTATATTAGGGGAATTAAAATGCATTTTCTTTTTTGTTATTTTTTGAGACAGTGTGGCACTCTTTTAACTGGGTGAGTGCCATAGAGTCAGCCTAGCTCACAGCAACCTCAAACTCTTGACCTCAAGCAATCCTCCTGCCTCAGCCTCCTGAGTAACTGGGAGTATAGCCACGCACCACCATGCCCAGCTAATTTTTTCTATTTTTAGTAGAGATGGGGTCTCCCTCTTGTTCAGGCTGGTCTCAATCTCCTGAGCTCAAGCAATCCACCCGCCTCGGTCTCCCAGAGTGCTAGGATTATAGGCGTGACCCACTGCTCCCAGCCAGCATTTTCAATTTATATTTTCAACTTATGATGGGTTTATTGGGATTGAGAAGCATCATAAATTGAAAAACATCTGTAGTTTTTCTCACAAAACTACCTATTAAACCTGAAAGAAACATTTCCTAAAATATGTCCCTTTAGCCCGTAATCTTTACTGTATATGCATTCCATAGACATGCATTCTATGCATTCCATGCATTCTATGTTTGTAAAAGGATTCATTCTATAATTGCTCCATCTGGAAATTCACAATGACCTTTCATAAATTAGAGGCTCTGAGAAGTTCTGCATGAAATAAACTTTATTAAATGTGTTTAACGTAATATTTCTCAGATGTATTTGACCCAGAACCATTTTCATATGTAGCATCCTTTAAAAACATATTTTGGGAAATAA